GGTGCAGGCCTGTAATCTCAGCAAATTGGGAGGCTGATGCAGGATGATCACAAGTGTAAGGCTAGCATCATCAACTTAGCAAGACACTGTCTCAAAGGCTGGGACTGTATGTAGCTCAGTGGTTGAGTGGTCCTGGCTTCAATCCCCAGTACCAAAAAAAAAAAAAAAAATGGTGGGGGAAAACATTCCATTCATAATGAAAAAAAAATAGAATATTAAATGGAGCTTGTGTTCTCTGGTTCACTGTAATCCCCACCACTCCCTATTATCCTATACTTGGACCATTTTCTGTTTACCTGAAAGAATTTGAGTTTACCACTTCTTAATCTAAACAGTGGTATGTTGGAGCTCATTCATACTAATTTACCAGAGCCAGTTACTACATTCTCTGGGATTCTGTGAGCCAGCTTAGTTAGTAGCCTGAAGCCAACCATGGTGGGAGTCTGTACAACACAAAAACTGACAAAAAACTGTAAATTCATTTATCCACCCCCATCCCAGAACTTTTTTACCAGCCTGCCTCTGAGTCAGATGCTAACCCTTTACTTCCTAGATCCATGTCCAAAAAGGGAAAGGATTGTGGAAGGTTACTAAGCTACAGTTAATGTGGCCTTCTGACTCCTCCTTGAGCACATTCTCTATGCTTAGAATATACAAGGACCGCAAGCCTAACCAGGATCAGACCTGGCTCCCATAAAGCTGGCAGAAGTATCACAGAAGCCCTGTTGTCCTTCAGTGTGCTTCCTGGCAGATGCAGGGATTACAGCCAGGTTGTTCTTATTGCTACCTCATATAGGAAAATGGCAGGTTATGGTACTCACAGCTTTCCACTCTTCCAGGTAACGGCACAAGAAACAACCATGGAGAGGAACCCAGAAGATGGGGCCTACATAAAAGGACTTTACTTAGAAGGTGCCCGTTGGGACAGGATAGAGATGCAGATTGCAGAGTCTTTCCCCAAAATCCTTTATGACCCATTGCCCATCATTTGGCTAAAACCAGGGGAGAGTTCAACATTTCTGCATCAGAACATTTACGTGTGTCCAGTCTACAAAACAAGTGCTCGGAGAGGTACCCTCTCCACCACGGGCCACTCCACCAACTACGTCCTCTCCATTGAGCTCCCAACAGACATGCCCCAGAAGCACTGGATAAACCGAGGGGTAGCCTCGCTGTGTCAGCTGGATAACTGATGGCATTTATCTCAAAGCACAAAGTAAAAGCCATTTTATTCTCTACTAAAAGCCATTTTATTCTTGAGAGACATTAGATGATGATGATGATKGTGGTGGTGGTGGTGATGACAATGATCACAGAGCTGAGCCAGATATTTCACAGCAGCCCTATATGGTAGGGCTTACTTTATGGCCACAGAAACCATGATATGGAAAAGGTAGGTGGTGTTCCCCAGATCAGAGCCACTAAAGTAGAATTAAAACACAGGCAGTGGAATTCTTCTACCTAGACTTTTGGTCATATGACTTAAGTTCTCTCATAATTATTTTTTATTTCAATCACTTCTTTCCTAGTCTATCTACAGGGCTACCATCAATGCCCCTTAGGGGCTTGAAATACTCTTATTTGCTAAGGCTCTTGATAGATTTAAAATGCATATGTCCTGCAATGATCTTAGGTGGTGGCTATTATCTATTTTATAGACAGAGTTCCACAGTCAGTCAGTGGTAGAACTAGGACCCAGCTGCTTCCTGACTAGCCCATGCAGATGAACTAAAGCTTCAGGAAGAAAGGAGAGATGAGAGAACCATATTTGTTGCACACCTACTGGGTACCAAGATTTGTGCCCAGGCCTCAGACTTGATCCTGTAGGCTGGGCATGACTGACTCTCCCTCTGGAGGTTAAGGGGAGTTTAGTAAGTTGCTTGAGATCATCCAGGTTTTTCATACTTGCAGACCAGGTTTCCAGTCGAGGTTTGTCTGGTTCTTGAACCCATGCATTTGCCACATGCTGCCTCCCTAAGCACTTGGCTGTGTTGATACAGACTCCTGGAAGAGATGTCTAGCTCCAACTACACAACACTGCCAAGAAATTTCAATCACTTGTTTCTCCCCAAGGCCAGCTGGAAGGGAATCCCGAGGGAGATAAAAGATCGAATTCTTGATGTAGTGAGTCTTCACTAACCCTTTCACGTGGCTCTTTGGCTCTAAGTGGCTTCTTTCAGGGTATTCTATTGGTCACTTCACAGCTGAGCAGACATATAGCTATTTGAGTCTTAATGTATCTGGCCAGGATCCTCTTCACTAAAACAAATGTCCTGACTCAGGGTCTTCAATTTTTTTTCTTCTTAATGCGGGAAGTTTCTGAGAACCAATAAACATATTTCAGAAAACTTCCATTTTAGTTCCTTTATGGCACCAAATTCTGATTGAGGAATCTGACTTCTGAGATCAGCAGATCATCCTGGTGACCCAAGAGATTAAGCACACCCTTGTTCTCCAAATCTTGCCACTGAGGAAGTAGAAACCATGAAGAAGAGCTAGGGTCTAGCTTTTGCAGTAGGTAACTTAATAGCTATTTTTTTTTTCCTGAAGAAACCTGACTTTTTACAGTGAGGGAAAAAATCAGAATGCACAGATAGCTGGAATTGCTGTACCATTCCAAGTAGCCTGGTCAGACACRTGAGATGGAAAGATGGTCAGGATCCCACATCCCAGAATCTGGGACTGGTAGGTAAGTCACATTGCCATCTGTAAAAGAACTGTCAGAGAGGGGGTTGCTAAGAGCACAACAGAATTTTAATTACAGTTATCCAGTTCCAGCTCCAGCAACAAAAAGCTGAGGGAGGCAGAAACTCTCATTCTTCAGGGATCAAGGGACAAAATGTTTTTTGTGTGATGGATGAAATTTTTGTAATTTAAAAAAAAAATCTTTCCTCCACTTTGAAAACAAAGATTGCCCTAAATTTGAGGTCATTTTTAATTTGGGCCAGTGTGGTAATAAGGTCTCCTCCTGGGAAAAAGCAATATGCTCTTCAGAAACCATGGTGAGTTAGAGGCTGCGGGGAAGCAGCAGGCCCTGATGCGTAGATGACATCAGACAAACCTGGCCACCAAGCTAGACCTTGCTCTTGAAAACCTAGCTGCTGAGTAGCTGGTTATGTTCAGTCCATCTCAATGATGGAAGAAAATTACATTAAAGGAGGGGATGCAGGAAGGTAGGTTGTACTTTTATTTTTTATTTTTTTTAGAGAGAGAGAGAGAGAGAGAATTTTTTAATATTTATATTTTTTAGTCTTCGGCGGACACAACATCTGTTTGTATGTGGTGCTGAGGATCGAACCCGGGCCGCACGCACGCCAGGCGAGCGCGCCACAGCTTGAGCCACATCTCCAGCCCCTGGGTTGTACTTTTAAATATATATATTTATTTTTTAGGTGTAGTTGGACACAATATCTTATTTATTTTTATGTGGTGCTGAGGATTGAACCCAGGGCCTTGCACGAGCTAGGCATGCACTCTACCGCTGAGCCACAGCCCCAGCCCTAGGTTGTACTTTTTTAAAAGACTGAAGATGGGGATTTTATAGTCTTGGAAAGAAAATGGGGAGAAATCATATTAAAAATAAAAACAAGCCAGATGTGGTGGTGTACACCTGTAATCCTAGAGATTCAGGAGGCTAAGACAGGAGGGTTGCAAGTTCAAGGCCAGCCTCAGCAACTTAGCAAGACCCTAAGTGACTTAGTGAGACCCTGTCTCAAAATACAAAATTGTAAGTTCTGGGGACTTAGCTCAGGGGTAAAGGGCCCCGAGTACCAAAATTTTTAAAAGTTACATGGAAGGTTTGATAATACATTGACAATAAAGGCTGTGCAACAGTATATGCATCTTTGCAAAGGGGGCTAGACATAAAATTCACATGTAGGTAAGATTTCTGTGGTGTAGAAGGTCCTCAAAGGTTGGCTAGCAATTAAATCAACTTTGAGGAGAAGGCTGGGTGGGAAGGGTGGTTTCTACATTCAATGGACTAAGGCAAAAATTACACCTAGTCAAAAGTTACTTAAAAATGGAGCATGAGGGAGATGCACAAGCCRTAGCCCACTTGGCAACACAGCCAGTTCTTCCTCCAATGTGGGTACATACAGCTCACTGGCTCATTGGCGGACCACCAGAGGAAGCAGTTGGCTTGAGTTCACAGACACAATGTTGCATGGGAAATACTTAGAACACTAGAACCAACTTTAGGCAGGGAGATGCTTCCATACTGAGACCCAATGAAGGAAAGTGACTGAAAGAATGGCAGATTTCTATCCCCCAATTTAAGCCAGGCTGGGACACTGCACACTGAATGGCCACTACACCTGCCAGCACATTAAAATTTCTGTCTCTCTGTATCAAAGGCCTATTGCTGCATTTGTGTTAAGTACRCATGTGCATATGCTATTACTCACAGCTGCTCTGCATATCACTGCCAAACCCTGTAGTACTTACCCCGAGCATGATAAAGTATGTTCCTGCTCATAGGAGGCAAGTTTCATCAGCTGCTTCTGAGGGTCATCATATCCCATTTTGGAAAGAATACAAAGARACCAAAATTGGTAGAGACTTGTCTTTATTGGTGCTCCAACTCTCTTTGGAGGTAACAGAGAATGATAGTGATATACAAATGTCTTAATGTGAACTCTCATCTGACTCCACACAGAGATATAAATCCTTTGTGTGTTCCTTTCTATTGGTCTTATTTCTGCTTGGACATACTTGAAAGCTATTTCAGACTTTGTATTATTCAATTGTGTTAAAGTCAAAAACTCATAATGAATGCAGGATGAATTTCTAGTAAGCTCTTCAGATCCAAATGCATCTTAAGAAATCATGGCTTTAAGAGAAGGCTCTAAGGTAAGGTAAACATGCCTGCATTCAAAGCGGCTTAAGAGGTGGAGGCAGGAAAAACACAAAGCTCATGGCCAGCCTCTGCAATTTAGGGAGATCCTGTCTCAAAAAATAAAAATGGCTGGGATGTGGCTCAATGGTAGAATGCCCTGGGTTCTATCCCTAGTACCATACCACGCGCACGCATGCGCGCACACACACACACACACACACACACACACACACAAAGATAAACACACATTTAACTAAGGCATGCGCTTTTGTGTATGGGGAGGGGGGGCATAGGTGTCACATAAAATTTCCATGGTCAGATTGAAACACCATGATCAATCTTACTTTTTAAAGGGAGTTCATCTGGAAATTGAAAGGATCACAAGAYTATAAACAAGCTCACACAGAAACAACCACTTTTATGTAAATCTATAACATTTTGCTTGCTGGGTATAGTGGCACATGCCTATAATCCCAGTAACTCAAGAGGCCGATGCAGTAGGATCACAAATTTGAGGCCAGCCTCAGCAACTTAGTAAGGCCCTAACTCTGATTAAATCAAACGGGATGCAGGAAGGTGGGTGCCGTGCATGGGTATGTAGCTCAGTGGTAAAACATCCCAGCTGCCAGTACAAAAAATAAGTCTCCTTTAAAAAAATATTTTGAAGGAGTTTATAGTTTTTGAATAGCCAAAAGAACTTCTATACCAACAACTGATGCTTTGCATTGGCTGATGTGTGGCAAACAGCATTCCCATGAAAAATTTCATCACCTTTAGCTTTCCTCCCACCTGTTTCTAAAGGTGACTTTAGTGACCTCTAGGGTTAATGCCATCTGCTCAGGCAGCAAGACCCAAACAAACCCTTGTGATGTGTAGACACATACTATGGATGAGGACTAGTTGTGGAGGTCCGAAGAAGCAGCTTGTTTTTTTGTCCCTAATAAAGGTGAAGAGTGCTGTATTCTGGTTTCCATTTAAGACAGAGATGGCTCATCAYTCTTGGAAATAAATTGACTTCTGGTTAAGAAACTTCATCATGGGACTTGAGATACACTGGTTTGGAAAGTTTCCTCAGTTTCTCCTGGGTTCGAAGTCCCCGGCCTTGTAGTGGTGTAAGGCCCATTGGAGGCAGATGAATCTAAACAATAAGGATAATGATGATATTAAGAATTATACTCATAAATTATTGCTGTTGCTTATATTCATTGAGGATTTACTCCCTACTATGCTGCCTACTAAGTGCTAAATCTACCAGTGACTCATGTTTATAATCTCTTCACTCATTGACCTTTACAACACATCATAAGAAATTATTATTCCAGTATTTATACATGAGAAAACAGAGGCTCAAAGAAATKACATCCTAACTTGCTCAAGATTGTACATTAAGTGGGGGAACCAGGATTTGAACCCAGACCTGTCTGATTCCAGCTCTTGTGCTCTTCTTTACCATATTATCTAAATAGAAAACAGTGAGCACAGATCACTCAGCAAGATGGAAAGGTACCCAAAGGGAGAGAAAAACAAAGTGTGTATACAAAGATATTCAGTGCACAGTGGAAAACTGGGACCAACCTGCTAGTAGATAGCTAGTTAATAATGGCTGTGATGGTTAATTTTGCTTGTCAATCTGACTGGCCCAGACCAAACATTATTTCTGGATATATCTGTGAGGGTGTTTCTTGAYGAGATCAGCATTGGGATCAGTGGATGTAGTAAAGCAGACTTCCCTCCCCAGTGTGGATGGGTGTCCTCCAATCTGCTGAAGGCCTGAATAGAACAAAAAGGCAGAGGAAGGAAGAATTTTCCCCTTTTGCTCTCTGTCTGCCTTGCTTGAGTGGGGATATCTTATCTTCTCCTGCCTTCCCACTGAGATTTACACCATCAGTCCACTTTGTTCTTAGGCCTTCAGACAAAGACTGAATTCTGCCACTGGCTTTTTCCTGGGACTTCAGCTTGCAGGAAGCAGAACATGAGATTTCTCAGCCTCTATAATTGTGTGAACCAATTCCTCATAATACATCTTCTTTTATATATACTCAGATAAATCTATCCAAATATATACCCATCCCACTGGCTCTGTTTCTCTGAAGAACCCTAATACAAGGGTACATTCCTACAATAGTATACAACGTAACCATTTAAAAAGATTGAGGGAGAGCTTTAAACAAAGATGTTCAGAAGAGCTAGGCATGGTGGCACATGCGTGTAATCCTAGTGACTCAGGACACTGAGACAGGGAGAACGCAAAGCCAGCTTCAGCAATTTAGTGAGGCCCTAAGCAATATAATGAAACTTTGTTTCAAAAAAAAAAAAAAAAAAAAGCCCAAAAAACAAAACAGAAAAACTGTCTAGAAGTGTGGCTCAGTGGTTAAGTGCCTCTGGGTTCAATCCCTGGTACTCCCCCCAAAATAAACAAAAACCCAAAACAACAAAAAATGTTCAGGAGTAGGCAATAAGTAGGCAATAATAAAATAAGTATGCCTAGAATCTCATATATGTAAAGAAATGTATAGGAAAAAACCTAAAAGATGTATCACCAAATGATTAGATTGAGTCAATACAATATCAAATTGCTGCTTTTTTAGGTCAAAGACCAAATATTGTCATTTTCATGTGTTGCAATATAATAGTTACAGTTCTTATTACCACACAGTGAGGATTTTGGTGAGAATTTTTGACAGTTTTTACTTTCTAATTTATGTATTCTTTTAACGTTTGAACTTTATTCTTTTAGTAACAAAAAACCTGCCTTTTATAARGAAAGTAAAAGGATTTTCATAAAAAAGGTGGAGGTCAAAAGAGAACACTATATAAGCATAAGCTGTTTTCCCCTCCCATATGTGGGGAAGTTGTACCAGAAGGAGAAACCAGGCATTCATTGACACTCTAGGTGGCATGCAAGGATATGCCTCTTACAGTAGCTTGGTATACATTCTTAGAAATAACTGGGTCAACAAGGATAGGTAGCCCCCACCTGTTAACTGGAGTTGCACTTACAGGCCTTGGGTAAGGAATCTGGTAATGTAGTCCAATTTCAATTCTGGCTGTGCATTCATCTATACACTGTTTAATCAGGTCTCTGTCTGTGAGCTATCAAAATTGGAAAACAAGTGAGGCTTTTTGCATCCTTCTAAATGTTCATAAAGTATAGGTACACATGCTCTCTCAGCCTTTTTCAGTTTACTAGCCAGTAAATTAAATATTGATAATTTCTTTGATTCCTAGCACAAAAATATTTGATCATTTGAAAAATTAAATATGAAAATTTAATATTAAATCTTACTGTGGACTCAATTTTTAAAATAGTTAAAAGAGGTAATACATATACATGCTAAAAAATAATATCAAAGGATATAATGAAAAAATCATGTCTCCCTTCTTCCTTTGTCTTCCAATTCCCCTTCTCAGAGATCATTTACCAACAGTTTCTCCTGCGTCTTTCCAAAGATATTCAATGTATATATAAGCCCATATGTATGTAGAGACTTGGCTTTTCCCTTTCACAAACAATAGCTCACTTTGTTTTAAGCCCTGTTTTTCACTAACATAATTTGAAGCTCTTTCTATATTTATACCGAATATAGGGCTGTCCTTTTCTTTATAAAAGCTATACAAAATTCCAACATAAGATTTTATTATAATTTAACCAATATCCTGCTGATGGACATTTAGGTAATTTCCAATCTTTTGTCACCATAAACAATTCTGCTAAAGATCCCTCTGAAAAAAWTTTTTTGGCTCAGATGCAAATATAGCTAAAAGATGAATTTATAGAGAAAGAACTGCTAGAAGTATATGCTCAGGCATTTCTAATTCTCACAGTATTCCCAAGTTACCTTCTAGAGTTTGCACCAATTTATACTCCCATCAACAATGAATGAAAAAGTGCTTTTAACACCTTTCTATATTGATTAACATTAAAGTAACCTGAATTTTCATCCAGTGCTGCTCAGAATCCCCTTCAGTAAGATACTGGAGAATGATCTACCTCTTGTTTTAAACGGCAATTTCTTTGCTCCCCAGAACCACAAAAATAAAACAAAATCCCCCAGAACTGTAAATTGTTTTGCTCATTAGTAAGAGGAACAAAGAGTTTCAAAATCTCAAATTAGTCAAATTGTGAGAGTCTATTTTCAAGTAAAGGGATGAAAAATTCATTCCGAAAAACAGAAAGCCCAACAGGAGAAGGGGAGAAACTATTTCATTCTAGGATGGAAAATGAATCAACACGTGGATCTGCTATGAGTTTGCAAGTGGCCCCAGAGTAGAGCTAGGATTGCATCAGCCCCAGATGACACCCACAGTGAAGTCTGGGCCCATGTGGCTTGGAAATTCCAAGGGAGTTCCTGCCTACAGTGCCTGCTGGAGCAGAGGGGAAGAGTTCCAGGAACAGAAACACAGAGAGGCACACCAAGTCCTCTGGGGCAGAGTCTCAACTGTCTGACCTCTGTGCTTCTCAGAAACTACTGCTCTGCTGCCACATTGGGAACAGATTTCCACGTTCCCATCTGCCCATTGGGATTCAAAGCAATTAATGAGATACCTTTGGATTATTMAATTCTTAGTGCAATTAAAGTTACAAGAAACTGCTTATGTCTGCATGAAGGATTAAGGAAAAAGGAAAAACCCCTGACAAAGATACTGTGAAGTATGCTGGATCTTCTGGAGATCAGCTGTCTATCTGAACAAGCTCAGGCCAGAGTACTCCAAATTCAGCCATTCATGGGCTGCCTGCAGGATTTTGCCATATCCACACATCACCTATACTAACAGTAAAATTTTTCTCTAAATGGACTCTCTCCTAAGCAGTAGTATTTGTGAAATTCTACCTTGGCTACTTTTCTCCTAGTACATGCTAGTACATACCTTACAATTAGAAACTAGGGCACCTCTTTTCTGCACCCTCAAATAATTTCATGTAGCATCGGTGGCACATRCATCTCCCGCTGGCTTACCCCTTGGGCCAATCCAAGAAGAGGTAGGATTACCGTGATACCTGAAAACATAGCTTCAAGTAGTTCTCAGATGAGGGAGCCTGCCTAGATATAGTGGGCATATCTTAGGTTACTCCCCCACACCAGGCTGGACATTGTGGGATCATAATCTCTGCCTTCAACTATTAAGGYTACTATCTGTGCAGAACAGCTCTAAAAAATAAAGCTACAAAAAAGGGACCTTGGTATATAATTAATCAAGGGCAATGATGGCTACAGACTATTTTTGTTCAAAGTAGTGGCTAACGTGGGGTTAGGAGAAGCAGAAAAATTGAGGAAAACTTCTTAGAGGTCAACTGAATCAAATGATTTGTAAATTGTTCATTAATTCAACCATGCTAAGCAAAGTAAGCCAATCCCGCAAAACCAAAAGCTGAATGTTCTCTCTGATAAATGGATGCTGATCCATAATGGGGGATTTGTGTGTGGGGGGAGAATAGAGGAACTTTGGGCAAAGGGAAGCGGAGGAGGGAGGAGGCATGGGGGCAGGAAAGATGGTGGAATGAGATGGACATTGTTACCCTAGGTACATGTATGACTGTACATATGGTGCGACTCTACATCGTGAACAACCAGAGAAATGAAAAGTTGTGCTCCATTTGTGTATAATGAATTGAAATGCATTCTGCTGTCATGTGTAACTAATTAGAACAAATAAAAAACTTAAAATAAAAAAAAAATTTTAAATGTTCATTAATTCAGTGAAAACTGCAAGGCAGGTCTCATGGGATATGAGATAAGTGTATGATACTGTCTATGTGCTCTAGAACTGACCTTTGTTGGGAAGACCAACCTAACATAAATGAAACAAAGAAGGAAAAAGAATATGACAACTCAGGGGTCTCCAAACATGTTACGTGTGTTTGTGGTACCAGGAATAGAACAAAGGGACACTTAACCTCTGAGCTACACCCCTAACTCTTTTGAGACAGTGTCTTGCTAAATTGCTGAGGCTGGCCTTTGTGATGCTCTTCTCACGGCCTGGCAAGTGGCTGGGATCACAGGTATGTGTCATAGCACCTGGCTCCAAACTTTTTATCATCCACTTCTTCCTTACAATAAAAAATTCTGAGCCCATAGTTCCCTTATGTGTACTTTTTATCAATCTATAAATGTACTAGTTTATAAATTTATAAATTATAGATGCTCCTTGACTTATGGGATTATTCCAGATTCTCCCATCGTAAGTTGAAAATTATGCATTTGATACTACATACCTAACCTACCGAACATCACAACTTAACTTGCCTTAAATGTGCCTGAGACATTTGCATTAGCTTAAGGTTGGTCAAAATCATCTAACATAAGTATATTTTTGTTATTATTTTTTTTGGTGGCACTAGGAATTTGAACCCAGAGGCTCTTTACCACTGAGTCACATCCCCAGAACTTTTTATTTATTTATTTATTTTTTTAGAGAGAGAGAGAGAGAGAGAGAATTTTTTTAATATTTATTTTTTAGTTTTCGGCGGACACAACATCTTTGGTTGTATGTGGTGCTGAGGATCGAACCCGGGCCGCACGCATGCCAGGCAAGTGCGCTACTGCCTGAGCCACATCCCCAGCCCCAACTTTTTATTTTTTATATGGAGATAGGGTCTTGCTAAGTAGCTTAGGCCCTTGCTAAGTTGCTGAGGCTAGCCTTAAACTTGCAATCCTCCTCCTCAGCTCCCAAGTTACTGGGATTACAGGCTTGCACCACCATGCCTGGCCAATATATTTTATAATGAAGTGATGAATATCTCAAAATTTGAGGTACAGTTTCTACTGAATACTTAGGGGTCATCTATATATATGTACTAATAAGTTCATTATAAATAATATACAAAATAGACATTTTTTATAGAATGAAATAGAAAAAACAAAAATATCAGCTGAAGTATTTTATTTCTATTCTTTGAGGACTGTTTAAGGACTTCATGGGGAATACATCCCTGGTTTGGCAAGCCTGGTCTACACTAAGCAGAAAGAGTTTGGAGAAGCTGGAGAAGGGTCAGAAGAGTAGAGGGAGCCATCATTACCAACTCAGCCTTAAAAGGCAAGGAGGCTTCAGGGATTCCAAAAAGGGGAAATCAGGAGGTTTTCTTTGGAGGCACTTGTCTCAGTTATAATTTTATATTTCCTCCCATCTAACTCTGAAACATCTTTGAGGGACTTTGTCTTGGTTTTGCTCATTTTCATATCCCTGATGTCTAGCTGGTGTTGGGCACATGCTGGGCACTTGAGTGCTCTCTGAATGAGGAATAAGAACAAAGAGTTGCTGAGTGGTGACAGGAGCTACGACAAGTGCACAAGTGGGGAAGGGAGGCGAGTTCTGCTCTGGATTATCAGACAGTGGTGAGGTCCTTTCAGGTGCTGGTTGGAGGCCAAGGCCAGGTATTCAGATGTGAGGGCTGAAACCRCATATGGTTTCATGTTGCATGGGCCTCAGTGCAGAGGGCTGACCTTCAGGGGACCCCTATAGCTTATGGGAGGGAGTGTGGAGAAGGCAGGGACAAAAAGAGACAGACTCAAGATTCAGGGAGGGAAAAGTATGAGAGCAGATTGGAAGTTTCACGAATCCATTGGATCAATGCAAACGAGGCTGAAGAGAAGCTGATAATCTCCTTCCATGCATGACACCTGTGGTCTCCCTAAGGAGCTCAGAGCTCAGGCCTTATGGCTTGTTGGGAATGGATCAAATCTGGCTCCCTGGGGTCTGGGTGTGCAGTTCTGTTAAACTGGCTAATAGAGGCATTATTTTATTCAATTCTGTGGTCCCAAAGGGCAACCTCACTCTGCTCTCCAAAGAGGCTCAAGTTCAAAGCTCAGTTATGAAGGGAACCCTGTGTCTTAATGCTATTCTCTTCCCTCTGAATACATCTATATTTGGAGGCAATGATTAGTTTATAAAGTGAAAAAAAAACTTTTCAGTGTGCACCTCCTGTGGGAATGGCTTGCAAAGGGCACAGCATGTGACAAACAACTCTTCCTCTAAAAATCTTCATTGGTCTGACTTTAGGTCACCTGGTTCATAAGGTCTTCTGAGGACACTGAGCCACTTACTGGCCAGACTGAGATTTGGAACAAGTGAAGAGAGCAGCACGGCTGTGTTCAACTCTAGCGGTTGCGCAAGCTAGTAAAACTGTGCTCAGGCCCCTCCTGCCCAGCTCGCCACCATTTTGATTTGTGCTGCTCTGTCCTCTGAATTTAGGAGAGAAAAGAAATGAACAACATGAGAAACTACCCTTCTCACAATCTCCAACGGAGGCCTACTTACGTTTTTGTTTTTCTGGAATAGTGTTCTTGCTTCGTTGAGTATGTACTGTTTTTCTCTGATGGTGTCTTCCATCTGCCCTGATGCCGCCTGCCATTTCCTTGCAAGCCTGAAAACCCGGCGGTAGAGGCCAAGAACTTCTTGTCGTGTTGCTGTTGTCATCTCCAGACCCACCAAAATAGAAGAGAAAAAATTTGCATAAAAATGCAATTTGACAGGAAGCAGCTAGGCAGATGTATATTTTTAAAAAATCAAGATTTTTAATTAGTCTAGAAATACTGCTCTTTGTCAACAGATCTGTTGTGTAGCATTGCCAGAATGGCTTGGCAGAACCAGCAGCAAACTTAACTGACGTTGAACATCATCCCATGGCTGAGGGCTGCTCTATCATGCTGTCTGCCCTGAGGGCCATTTTTGCAAACATTGGCAAAACCAAAATTCGCATTTACTACCCTTTAAAGCCAGTGTTAACAGATTATATCAGAAATGATACTTTTAGTGGTAAAATTACATCACAAACCTGAGTGCCTAGAAGACACACTTGGAATAACTGAATTTTCTAATTAAGTAAGAACTGGTAATTAAAGCTTAGGTTGTGTACTCAAGTGCCTCCAGGGCCTGGCAGGCAACATATGTGAGGGTGCGTGGCTGGATGGGGACAGTGGCCAACTGACAGGACACACCCCTCTGAAAGGGGACAGTTGCTATTCAGCTCCAGCCAGCTGTTAACATGCAGAAACAAGAGCCTAGAGATGTCAGATGGATGGGCCTTATAGCTTAAGAATAGGTGGCAATCCAGATTTTAATAATATAAATTTCAAAACAGGCTCATTCATTATTTCTGAAAATGTGAGCACCATGCAGGGCAAATAAAATGACTCTGTAGGCTCAATTCCACCCAAAGGCAGTCAGTGTATGACTCTCTCTTTTTTCAGCCATATGGGGGATGGAATTCAGGACCCCGCATATGCTAGGCAAGCACTCTTCTACCGACCTACACCCCTAGCCATTTTGCAGGGAGRATACTCAAGATTGAATTCAGGAATACTTGACACTGAGCCACACACACACCCCTTTAAAACTTTTTTTTTTATTTTGAGGGCTGGGGTTGTGACTCAGTGGTAGAGTGTTTGCCTAGCACGGGTGAGGCATTAGGTTCGATCTTCAACACCACATTAAATAAATAAACAAATTAATTAATTAAAGGTATTGTGTCCATCTACAACTAAAAGTTTTTTAATTTTTTTAAAATTTTGAGACAAGGTTTTGCAAAGTTACCAGGGTAGCCTTGAACTCAAGACCTTCCTGCCTCAGTCTTCTGAATAGCTGGGATTCCAGGTGTGTGACACACACCCAGCAGGTTATGACCTCTCTTTAGTTCATCATAACATTTTAGGAAATATTTCTCAAATTTTTAAAATCTATTTTCCTGTCTAATAAGAACTGTAAAATAATTATAATTGAAAATCTTTCTGGTGATAACAGTTTTAATTYCTGAGGGCTTGGCTAAATGAGAACTGACCTAAGTATATTTCCTCGAGCTAACTGATTTTTTTTTTAAATGAAATTTCTTTCACCTGGGTACAGTGTTGCATGCCTATAATCCCAGGGATTCTGGAGGTTGAGGCAGGAGGATCAAAGTTTGAGGCCAGCCTCAGCTGTACCCAACTTGGTGAGGGCTTGTCTCAAAATAAAAAATGAAAAGGGCTGGGGACTTGTGCCCCTGGCTTCATTAAAAAAAAAAAAAATGTCACTTTTAAGTTATTTTTAACCTGAAATATTTCAGATACAAAAATATCGAGAATTATACAAGTCCTATATTCACAACAAACCTTAAACAGATTAAGTGTATTCTGATGAAACTCTCATTTAGCCACTTTCAAATCACATTCCCCTTCCTCACTTCTAGAAGAAAYTGCTATCCTGAATGCTCTTTATCATTGTCATGAGTTATCTCTGCACTTAACACTGTATGGTATTGCTCTGCCACTTGCATTTTTTGTGCATCATATTTGCAAGATCTGTGTTGTCACCTGGGCTCTAGTTCAGACATTCTCACACCTGCAATTCAGTCCACTAATGAAGACATCCCAATATACTGTCTATTCTGTTGATGGGCATTATGTATTTCAATCTCTACACAAAAGCTTCAGCCTATTTAATATTTACATTTCTGCATCTAAAATTTCAGGGAAAACAGTTGTGGAAATGTTTCACTGGTGGAGGTTTCTGCTTGGTGAGACAGAACAATAAATATTGTATTGCCTTTGACAAGGGGACAGACAGGCTGGAAGACCAGGGGGACAGATTTGGTGAGTAAGTAGCAGGGCCAGACATTTGGACATGCCATTATGAGTCTTGGATTTTTCTCAAACAGGCTGATCAGGATTGGGGAGTAGGCTACTCACTGCCATTTGGGAACATGACCTATTTCCAGCCCCCAGGAGGAGGCAGGATACCTGGAGATGGTATGCTTTAGAGGGTGGTCCTGGGCTTACAGGAATCTGGGCGATGGAAGCTGGAAGAGGGTGTATATATCTAGAAATACTAGGCACCTTCAAGGAATTCACCTTCCAGAGAATTAAAGATGACTGCCCCTCCTACTTACCCTGACCCTGGGTGACCTTTCTTGAGCAATGAGGAACAACTGAGGCTTAGCTATTTGATGAAAACCTTGAAAGCACTACTCCACCCAAGGAAAAGGTTAAATGGATCAAAGTTATGTACAAAACCAATTCTGAAGTCCATGATGCTTCACAGAAAAAAATGCTTAAAAGGAATTCATAAAAACCAATAGAGAACATCATGCGTAATAAAGAAAAAACCAGATGAGATGACGACATTTTTTCCTGGTAAGGAAACAGGTTTCTGAGTTTCTGGCTCTCCCTAAAACTCCATGGTTTCATCTGAAAATACATGAGTCAGTTCCTGTGAGGGACAGTCACGTCTATTAATGATTGCTTCACTTCTCTGTCATTAACAGACAACGCTTCCTTAACTTGGAGACACTTGCCCCTGAAAGTGAAGGTCAGGCATATTAAGATCTAGCACACTCCTCCAGAGCCTGACTTGAATGAGTTTTCTTCCACTGCTCTGAGAACCACCCTTTAAACTCTGATCATATACCWTAATCTGAAAACAGAAGTCCTGTAGTTAGGTTAGTCAAGGGGACAAGCAATACCAACAACTGATACTTAGAAGGACTATTTTTAAAACGCATTAATTAATGTGTTTTGAAAACTAATCCTGAAAAGGAGATAGGTGATGATTCTCTCTCTATTAGGTGACTCAGAAAGCCCGAGTTCCAAAGATTTCCAGAGAGGAGGTTTTAAAGCCGTAGTCACTAATAAGTACTATCAACAAGTCTTGAGAATAAAAGCAAGAAAAATTAAAGTCTTTTTTTTTTTCCCTTACTGATTTCTTTCAGTTCTCTGAGGGAACCATGATCTTATCCATGCTGTTCCCTCTTTTCAGAAGCCCTTCCCTGACCTCCTTCCTCCCTTTTACCTGACCAACCCCTATACATCCTTCAGCTCCCCATGAAAACATGGTTGAYTCAGAAAAATCCTCTCCCCCTTCTTATCTCCTTCCCCACCCACAGTTTGGGGGCTCTCTGCGGAAGCTCCCCATGGCTCTTAATATTTCTTCTTTTTAGCATTCATCATTCAAGTAAAGGCTTGTTAATGTCTGTTTCCCCCAGTGGACTCTAGTGTCTAGAAAAGGACATCATTGGTATACAACAAATGTTTGCTGAATAAATGAAAATATCTCTGGCTACACAATACCTGTGATTCTAGACATGGAACTGGTCAGACATTAAAAAAAAAAAAAAAGCAGTTCTTTTGCTTTTGGTTTAGTTTTGTCTTTTCTCTTAGAAAAGAGTTCATTTGTAACTTTTTTATAAGGAGATTTTCTCTGCATGGATTTAATGGCCTGCAATCAATATTTTTTTCTTCTCACACTTTTTTCTAGGTGTCAGAGGACAACTGAGCATAATGGGGTCTGCTGGGAGGGTTCTTTCAGCAATATGGTTGTTTAGAGGACAACACTTGAACTGCAGTCACAACTGGCCATGAAGTCTATTACACAATTCCTACAGTTTGAGTTTTATAATTTTTGAGATTGACACTTAAAACTCTGTTCCTTTTCATCCCCTTAATCCCTAAATCCCAGAATGAGAAAAGATAGAAAATAAGAGGTGAGCCCAGAAGTAAATATAATTGGAAGCTGGTCTCTTTTCTTAAAATCACACCTCACGTATGAAGAGTGTCAAGATGTAGTTCACTATGGAGTGCCCACGTGTAGAGAAGGTGCTGTTGCTAGTGTTTGGTCTCTGGTCTTAGTTGGGAGAAGTTTCCCCTAATGCAGGTGCCCTGAAGTCTGTTTGGGGAGGTGATTCTAGATCTACACATATTTAAAATAAACAAATAATACATCTATTAGTTGTGATTATTTTAATGAATCTTAGAAATAGCCCACTGAACACATTATTTCGAATCTGTGTAATATAGAGCTTGCTCTAAAGAAATGTTTTCTCTAATATGAGAATGCTGATCCATAAYGGGGAGAGCTAGAAAGAGTAGGGGTTTGGGGGTGGGAAAGATGGTGGAATGAGATGGACATTAYTACCCTAGGTACATATGTGATTGCACAAACTGTGTGACTCTGCATGGTGTATAGCCAGAAAAAAATGAGAAGTTGTGCTCCATTTATGTACAATGAGTTTAAATGCATTCTGCTGTCATATATAACTACTGAGAACAACAACAACAAAAAGAAATGTATTATCAAAATTTTTATGTTGGTTTAAAACACAGGAAAATAGCAAAAAAAAAAAAAAAAGAACCGTAAAAATTCTGAATAACAGAAGCATGGGAGTTGTGCTCTAAGGCACCTGCTATAGCATACTTTTTTGTCATTTTTTGCAGGGGAGAGATGCAGCCTTCCACATAGAAGGACTCTTTTCTGCTACCCACCTCACCTCACCAAGTAGACACCTATTTACTATCCAGCTTTCCCAGAGCACCTTTCTCCCTGCATCTATCATAGCCAGCTATTGCTTTTATRGTTATATCATTGTGTGTGTGTGCGCACATGTGTGTGTATAACACAGGGTCTCCAAACTCCCAGAAGGCGGGGACTGCTCATCACAGTGACAATAT